GTAGAAAAATGTTTGCTCTACAAAATGCATTTGTTAAAAGAATTCCAGAATCATTTCTAAGAAAACTTAGAGCATTCTAAAATGTACTAAATTACGAAAAAAAAACTGTTCGGACAGTTTTTTTCCGCGATTTAATGTATTTTTCGAATACTCCGAGTTTTCTTAGAAATGATTCTGGAATTCTTTTAACAAATGCATTTTGTAGAGCAAACATTTTTCTACAAAATTAGATGTATTATAGCTCTGAGAGAATCGTGATAACTGATTTATAGCAATTCTCTCGGATGCCCCAAAAGGTCTTCCGGCCAGACTGATCATCGCCATATGTATGTTCGATCAAAGAAGAAGTGATCGAAAGTGTTTTTCTGGATTATAGAATCATATTCTATGACAAAAATGTAACGTTAATTAAGATCTTATAATTTGAAAAAAATTAGCTTGAATTTATTTAATATGAAACTTCTTTTGAATTAGTTGAAATTAGAGATGGGATGAAAGACGTAAGTTGCGTAATAAGAGAACGAAAGAGCATATCTGATATTATATCTTTTTCTTTTTGATATTACATTTTTTCCGATCAAAAATATGTTGACAGCAATCAAAACAAAAAGAAAAAAATTTGAAAATGTTAAAAATTATATTAATGAAAGAAAAGGAAAGACCTAACGTTAGTGGTACGAAATGTATTCTTCTTTTTTTCGTTTTTTCCACTCTTAACGATATGTTCTTAAGACCACCCAAATACTAACGACATATTCTCAATACGCACGTTTCAAACAAAAATTAAGTATTTCCTTTGTAAACGAAAGAAACACATCGTACAATTTCCTTAACGATATGTCGTTCAGTCCACCATTTTCATTCTCTTTAGTGTAATACATATTACGAAAATATAAACGTATGGCGACATGTTCTTTTACTGGAAAAAAAGAAACAGACTGCTCTACAATATGTTCTTTTCTTCATTAATTAATATACAACTAAGCCTTTCTCTTAGTCCAAAAGTCGAACGAAATGAGGAAATAAAAAGATATATTCTGCAAAGAACATGTTCATTTCTTATAAACATGTCGGCAGTCCTTCATCCTACCTTTACTTCGAATTAATTAGAAAAGTTCTAATGGATTTAAAAAATTGTGTAGCTTAATTTTACACGAATTTAAATTCATTAATTCAATTTCAATTAGATAATTCATTTATCTTAAAGCCACTTAAGAAGCCTGTAACTCGGTCGTTCAAGATCGTAGAAATTCTGTAGAGATCTGAAGGGGCTATGCGATGATGTGATTGAACAACTACTAAAAGAAATGTTAAGGTCGCGAAGGCCTCACTCTTTAGAAAACCGGGTTTTCCAGAAATTTGTCTCTGAAAAAATTCATTCAACTGATGGGAAAGAAACTCATTTTTAAATTTTCTTAGTGACTTTGCAGCAAAATGCGTACCACCGGCAGCCGCCATGAGATACATTTTTTTTGAGTGACATTGTAGTGGCTCACTAAGATTCTAGTGAGACTACTGACTCACAAGCCATGACATGAACCTTCAGCTCTCTAAGTCTTCAAGGACTCCAAGAACAGGAACTTTGAAGCAAATTTTCAAGTTAATTTTAGTTTTCGACAAAAATCTTACATTCAATCGATTGTAATGTAGTTTTATAGAGAATTGTTTGTAGATATAATTCCATACAAAACAATTTTACAAACGATGTCTCTGATTGTCTTTTAATTATTAATTACTTCTGGCTAGCACTAACTAGTGGCACTCCACTGGACAAAGTAAATTTTTCTAATGTTAGAACAAATGGAAGCAAATCATTCGATAGAACTTTTCGAGCTCTATCGATTGTCCTCCTTTTTTAATTTCTGCCGTTTTTGTCTGAAAAATCCGTTTCAAATCATTTTTGGTGTCAAAAAACTGACCAACTCCCAATTTTCTTAAACAGAACTAAAGTTCTATGTAATAAAAATATCATATTCGGAATCAGAGTCGAAAACTGAGTTGGTTGGTGCGTATTTCGAAATTTTAGTGCATTTTTATTTTTTGACGAAAATCTCAATGATTTTTCAACGTGAAAATTCAAAAAACAAAAGTGCTCGTATAGAATAGAGACATACTTGACCAACGAGTTTTTGATTGCATAGCCATACCATCGAAGATGTTCTCTACAAACTGACCAAATTTGAGGGCGTGTTTGTGGGAGGACACTCTCCCTCCCTTAAAGTAGAATCTTAATGGTAGTTCCAACTTTAGATAATGAGTCATTACCTGTTGGATCTGTGCCCATTGCTAAGCTCAGCAATGATGTGACAGAACAGCTAGTTAAGCCACATATTATCACAAAGCGTGAGAAATTTGTAAGCGAAATAACCGAGAAAGACTTGCTGCTCAGCTGTCTTCTACAAACAATAGACATTGATCGTGAAGGTCTGTTAATATGTCCAATGCACCGCTATAATTACGGTATTGGCTGGACTCCACAAAATCACTGTTATCGTGCTGATCACAAAAATGACACGAAGAGAATCGACAAAAAAAAATTATAGACGAGCAATGTTAGAGCAAGTGAATAATCTTGCTGGTTTTCCTATTGGTAGTCGTTTATGCTATGAACATCGGACAACAAGTGAAACAGCGGATACGATGACTATAATTACCGTACCATCTTTACCGGACTCGAACGTAACATTTGAAAAAATCAATACAAAAGAATCGGCTAACATCTCAGCGCTCTCAAAAGCCAAACAACGATACCACTTCAGACTCATTCCGACAGTAGTATCCGCAGACTAACTTTAAAATTCAAGACAATTATTCAAGAAATAGTGTCAAATCGAGTCGAATCGATGGTACCCGGTCAAGGTGAAACACTAGTGAATCTTTTGGGTTTAGATACGATGCTTGAAGGAGCACACCGTCAAACGTCAACGTTAGAGGTTGATGGCGCGATGGTCAGTTATTTCATCGAGATGTATCGTTAGTATGATCAACAGAAATTACCATACCAGGAAAAAATTCGAATTTTGTAATTGTTATCTGAAGCCTGGACATACAATGAGATACGGAAGACATTTGGCTGTACACGACATGCTGTGAACCTAACGAAAGATTTACGGTTGTCGACGACTACACCGTTACATTTAGAACCCAAAAAATGCGTTACACGCTCGCGTATCTCGCCAGCGTTAACGGAACACTTCATTACTTGGCTGATATAGACTGAAATGTTGGTATCTATACCGTGGGGACATGGGGAACTTGAACTAGACAGCGGTGAAAGTCTTACCATCCCAAAACAAGTTCTTCAAGCAAAAAGAAGTCATGTTATTGTTCAATATAAATGCCATTGTGAAGAATTGAACTTCACACCGCTGAGGGATCGAAAATTATTTTATATTCTCGAAAATCTGAACGCATCCGAACAAAAAGCTCTGTCCGGTTTAGACGATTTTGCTGTAGCAGCGCGAGACGCCTGGGAAAAATTAGAATTTATTTGTCAAAAGTTCCTCATATCGTCAGCCGAACGTAAGAGACTGATTAGTCGAATCAAAAAATCTAGTCAGTATCTCAAGAGTCGTTTTCGAATTCACTGTTCTGTCGACCCAATCGCTAGTCATTGCACTGTATATTGTTTGAGTCAAGAAACTAAGGATAAGCCAGAATGCAGCCATGATCACACTCTCGTCTGCGAAGTTTGCGTCGCTCTCGCACAATTGCTCGATGGTATTGAAGAAAATATTACCATCTTAACTGATAAAGAAATTAAAGACGAATTGACGTATGATTTTGAACAGTCACGCGATGTTGTTGTTGAGCAATCGCGACATATAGTTCATTCAGTCCAGCAAAATATCGCCAAAGCAAATGATATTAAAAATTTGTCAGATGATTCTGCCTATATGACTATAGATTGGGCTCAAAAAATACTACGTATAGAGCATAGAGAAGGGCAATCAAAATATTTTGGCAAAAAAGGCATGTTTGTACTTGTTGGATCATTCACGATGATTAACCCAGAAATGGCAGGTGATATTTTTTGAAGATCTTCTCTTCTATTCGTGAAAGTTCTCGATCTTTTAGACAGCTGTAAAACGAAAACATACATGTTAGCTCTCCCACGATGTCCCCAAACCGAGTTGGATACATTATCCGGCGGTCATCTAATAGCAACGGAATTTGCGAAACGTCACCCACAAATCAAAAAACTGTTAAAAAGATCAGGCAATACGTGTGTTCTTGGTGGACATGCGATGCCTGAATCCGAAAGAATCCTACATAGCAAAACTGGACTCGAATTACTTGTGCGAGATTATTTGGAGGTCCAGTCAGGCAAGGATGTGTGCGATCGTATGACCGACAGTGCAAAGATGCGATGCGTAAGGGAGCATTTGTTGATGCTGGTAACAGTGTGTTAAATGCTAGTGATATCAAAATGGTACTTAGAAAGCATCTGGTATCGGGGATAGATTATTTATTCCGTATTCTAATCCATCAGTCAAACCAAATATGAAGCTTATCAAACCGTTTGAACCGGCGCCCACAACTATAAGCCGACGATTAAACGACAATAAACGGAGATCAGAACCACGAAAAGACCGTCAATATAATATTTATTACTTTTGCCCGGTTGATAATTGTACGAAAGTGTTTCAGTCTAAAAATGAACTGCTTGACACACAAATCTATCAACACTGACTAGTACACAACTGCAGGTGACGATAATGACGACAGATCAGCTACTTCTGGCGAAACATAAGATTTACTTTGAGGGTGAAGGCCACTGCCTTCGTCCGAAACGGCAAAATAAAGCGATTGATCCAGATATTAAATTATTTTTTAAGAGTATGTTTGACGAAGGAGAGAAATTCGGATATAAAGTAACGAGTGATTAAGCCGTAACACGGATGCGAAATGCGGGAAGGGAAGAGAGCTCGAAACGATTCACAACAGAACAATATATAACTGGAAAACAGGTACAAAATCAATTTGCTCAGATAAATTCTTATAGGAAGGAGACTAATCCACTGTAAATCTGACATCATCAATGGATGACCATGTATCAGCAGAAAGCAAATCGAAAATAAATTCTAAGAAGCGACCGAAAGCTCAATCAGCGAGAAAATAATTTCTTGAGCATTTAAGTGACGAAGAGACAGCTGATACTAACCCATCAGCGAAAAAGCAGCGATACTCATTAAGAAATCATCGAACAAAAGACAATACATCAATATCAGCAGACACTTTAGATGATGATTTCATAATGAAATCCAAGGTACCAGATTCGGCACGGATACATATACCGATAGTTCGTTCCAAACCACTTAAGAATAAAATTCTAGTCGAATCGTCCGACAGTGACTACGATGACGAGGATGAGAAAGCTTGGACGAAGATACGCGTAATTCAGGCAGTAAAACGACGTCTTTTAACTTAGATTACCTGACACCAGTAACTTGACTGTATTCCAATTTTCCTTTAGAAGGTACAAAAGTTCGATCTCATCACAAAATTTTTTCATACTAATAGAATATTTAATTCTTATTTCTATGGAATATTATTGATCGCTTTCTCTTAAAACTTCTCGAAGACATGAAAATATAAGTACAAAAACATGTAACTTGAATTAATAATGTTTGAAGACTGGGTTTTGCTAACTGCATATGCCGGTATATGTGCAGCAGAAAAACGGCAAAGTTACAGAATTTACAAGGAAAGCCTTAAATGAATTTCTTCTAGCTCTGAGCTGACAATGAAAATTTAGGGCTTTTGTTGTAAATTCTATAACTTCGCAAATAAAGGTCGCGTAGAGGTCGGAGATGTCTCATTTTGATTATAATTTCATGGGCTACAATCGTGACTTAAAGAGAAAGTTTCGGAGATTTTTCGAGATTTCTGGAAAACCTCTCTAGAAAGGCCTAGCGATCCGTCTCATATGGATATCCGGAATCAGCGGGATCGACACTAGGTTTGGTAAAAAAAGCGATTTATCAGTTACATATGTTCTCTCGTAAGTGAACTTCAAAAAACGGATTTTCAGAGACCCTTTCCAAAACCATATGTGAATCCTCCTATATACAAAATGAACTAATTTTTAATTTGTTTGCTTAAGAGTCTCCGTTGAAACAAAGTTTTTTAAGTTCATTTCGACCATTTTGACTGTGCTGATGATAATTACCCTGGTGGAATACGTTGACTGATCATAATTATCTCAAATGGAGTAGTTAAAATCAGACGATACCTGCTGGCTGGATATTGAATATTAACGCTAATGAATTTTAAGATGATTTTTACATCGATCGATAAGTAAGACTCAGCTCAATCTACCTGCGAAATATCCAAGGGGGAAACAGCAGAATTACAAGCAGCTGTGGACTCCCAAAGCTACAGAAGTCTCGAAAATCCTATACGAACTTCCCAAAGTTCGAGAATACTGATAAAATTTTTTATCCTGATCATAACTACCCCAGGCTACTCTACACAGTTAATAAAATTCTGTCGCTCTTGACAGATAATAACCAATAAGTCTCTTCATTACTACTAGCAAAAATGTCAACTATCTATAGTTGTAATTTAATGTATACGCTTTTCCGGTACGAAACATACGTAATTACTTAGTTTTGATTGCTCATTCTCAACTACTTCATTTATCAATATTTTAGCGGCTTATACAGGTTAGCACTATCGATTAATCGTCAACCGATAAACTTTGAAAGTTAAAAGACATACAATTTCTCCATGAGAAGAGAAAAGTAGTTTGCAATAGCAGATAGTAAGACATACGTTAAATAAACTTTCTGATCCAAGCGAATTTTCTATTCTTATTAAGTTACTAGTCTTATAATAGAAAAGCATCATTAACAATGAGATCATTCACTTACATATATGCTGTGGCCAAACTTAGAATTCGACCAGATTCCGAATTTGGCCGACCAAAACTGGAATTCTAACTCTGGCTGGCCAAAGTCAGAATCGGATGGGCCAAAAGTTGAATTTTAATTTTCACCAGGTCAAAATCGAAATTGGAATTATTATTATTATATTATATTATATTAATTATTCATTCAGCACAGTTCTTTTACATTTACAAATTCTTTCCTGTACTGGCGTATATAGTCTTTTCTTTGCCAGCAGTTGTCTTGACTTGTTGGGATTATTGTACAACAAATCGCGGATCATACTCAAGGCAGGGAATCTATACTGTATATCACCGGAATATATCAGTCTTACATTAAATTACGTTTAACATCTAGTTGACTTGTGGGTAGGAAGAGGTCGACTCTTTGTAAGAGAATGAAGATTTTCAATAATGAGATTTTTTTAACTTTATTTTGATATAGTAGAATGATATGCACATGAAAATGATTACTTGACATCACTATTTATATTAAAATGGAAGAAAGAGAGAGAAATGAAAAGAAAGTATCTTCGAACTTTTAACAAAAGAATATAATAGACTGAATAGTACGAAATGTGAAAGAAAAAGAAGTAGTCATACCACAGGCATTAACAAAAAGAAGAAAAGAGATCGTCACACCATAGATATATCCAACAAAGAATGAATATCGGAAGATACGAAAAATGAACTAGTATAACAAGTACAAGTCTCTCTCAAAGCAAAAATAATGTTTTTTAATTTTTTTCGTTCTTTACGAGAGCGACTGCTTATGTGTAGTAAGACGACTTCACATAAACAGAACAAGTTATGTCATATCGAATATAACATTACTTTAGAAGAGGTTAACATCAGCACATACACCTAAGAGACAGTCAGCACAAAAATCGAGTATACGTAAACGAATGGTTTATCCGATGAAACATTACTTTTATCTCTAAGCGTGTTCATTCGATTCTCCATTGAAAATGACCCAGAAATCCAAATTTTGAAACCTTAGAAACATTTTCTTATCGATTTATGAAATTTTTACAAAGAGCCCTGTGAAAAATTCTCAAAAGTCGCGCAAACACGACATGTTTTTGTATTTTAATTTTTGTTCTGAGCTTTATGACTTTGAGCTATATATCAGTCAAAAGTGCGGGAAAAACTGAACAAAACAGGCAATTTTCTAAGTGTTAGCCGCGAAATCTAGTGTTGTAAAAAATTCGGTTTATTGAAACTTTGAAAGTCGGAAAACTCGGCTTTTTTTGTTAATGCTGCTCTCACACGGTCAAACCCAGTTGTCCCAAAAATTCAACAAGTTTATCTTGTAGAGCAGATAATTTGGATAATGTACTAGAAGCTTGATTACATCATGTTCTCGAAGACGAGTCCGAGTAAAACACGATAAAATCACTGCTGAAAAAAGGATTTCGAATAAATGAAAAAGTCGCGCTGAATTCTGACTTTCTTGTAGCAAGTCTTCTTGGTCAAGCGTTTAGTCATACATCAACTCGGGCGTTTGGTATGAATAATAGTTCTGTGTTTAAAAAAAATTAGTTAATAATCATTATTTCTCTTCTGACATTGATCGTACGGTCACGCGCGCACTTATTTTTAATTAGCGCAGAAAATGGTTTCTCTAACCTGTTTTATGCTTATTCTACGCGCTGGGACATGAATTTAATTTTAATATTTTTGTTTCAGCTCAAGAAATAGTGTAGTTTTGCTAAATTCTGTTACATCTGATCATTGAAGAAGTTACCTGCCAAAAATAGCCATTCATTTTCAATAAAAAAAAGTGATTCGTATTGAGTAGATTGATCAATCAGTTCCTTCGCACAGTGGGCATTTTTTGCTAGAGCAAGCGGACTTTAGCTTTATGAGTGAACTAAAATTTCATGAACCATCTTTTTATAGGTTTTTCATGATCCTCTTTCTAATGGCATGAGAGTTGGGTTTTA